CAGTAGACATATAATTAATTCGTTTCAAAGTAAAATCGATAAGAAAGAAATAAAATAACGAAGTTAATAATTTATTAGTGACTAAAAGCTTTATTCTGAATTTTTTTCTTTTTGTAGATTTGTTTGTTTCCTTATGTCATGTAAAATTTTTAAAAAATTCATGTATGTGATTGTACTTCAATTGTTATGTATAAACTCTTTTTCTAAAAAAAAAAAAAGTTATCTCTTTTTTTTTTTTTTTGACGTCAAAAAAAGTTGTCTTGTAAACCAATTTGATATTTTCATAAATCAAGTTTGGCGAAAAGAAAAGAACCAAAATAAAAATAAAATATATATACACTATATAGAGAGGGGGTATTTTAGTCAGACGGCCACTTTTTCCTATAATTTCAACAATCGGCGCCACTAAATATTTATTTTCCCGCGCCACTAAAAAATCCCTTCTTCTTCTCCAAAATCACATAAAAACCCTAAACCAGTAACCTCTCTAGAAATCTCCAAAATCACTTTTTTCTCTCTCCCTAATCGTGCAGTAGTCGAAAATTGGGTTGCGAAGAAGAAATCAATAAATGTTTTATTCGCAGACGTATTTGGCTCGTAAGGGTCCATTAGGGACGGTCTGGTGCGCCGCTCACTTGCAACATCGCCTCAAAAAGTCTCACTACACCTCCACTAACATCACCGAAACAGTCGGTTCGTGTTTTCCACTCTGATTTTGCCTTTTCCGATCTAAAGTTCGGATCTTCCCCCTTCGATGAAATTCGAAAAGTCGCAAACTTTAAATCAGTTATGATTGTTTTTGACATGGGCATCCACCAAATTTACCATTTGGCCTCAAATAAGTGAAAACAAGAATAACAATTTTGTGTGTTGCTGCTTTGTATTGTAAAAGTTTAAACTTTTTCGACAATTATAGTTGATGAAACTCTCTCTGGTTGGGTTCGGATTGATTGATCATTTGCAGGATTGTTGATTTAAAGATATGTAATTTGTTGTTTGCAGATCTTATAATATGCCCTGAAGTACCAATGGCATTGAGAATGTCGAGTCACCTTCTACTTGGAGTTGTGCGAATATATTCAAAGAAAGTTGATTATCTTTTCCGTGACTATACTCTCCTGCATACTTGGTTAGCTAAGGCTTTCGTTTCTACTCATGTTGACTTGCCAGAAGATGCGAGACAAGCACCCGTTGAGTCGGTTACTTTGCCTCAAACATTGAATTTGGACGATTTCAACTTGGAGGATGACACACTCGATAGGTAAACCATCTTTTTCACCTTGTTTATTGGAGTTTGATCTGTAGTGAAGCTTGAGAGATATTGTTTTCTTGTGAATCATAGGGAATTTGATAATCATCTTCGGAGTCAGGAAGATATCACTCTCACAGGTACC